AGGCTCAGAGGTAATGGTGATTTAAGTTGGGGGCAAAGTATTGGAAGCATGGGCATATCTGACAGTCAATCCTTGCGCTGTTAGGGTTCCTCGGGCCCTAACATGCGGAATCATCAAGAGTGCGTACATAATGTATCTTTCTGATTTGCCAGTCGAACAGGAACATGATTCATGCTCCCCTGAATGAATGAAGCTGGCCCAGGTACTTTGCCAGAGCTGTAACAAATTCAGGCTGCATATGCAGACACTTCACAATAGCATAGAGCTTCGCTTCTCAGTGCAGACAAAAAATTCAGCCTTCAGACCTCAAAAGTGCATCAATTGTACACTAAAAAGGCATTTGCAACTAAACTGCATAAGACCATCATAACATCACAAACAATGACTGTAACCAATCTGCAGTTGCAATCATCAGTAATGAGCAACATGCAAGGCCAACATCCACCCTGCAAAACGACATAGAGGTTTGGTAGGCCATTAAACCAGCCTCTGATGGGCCCCGTTTTTTGGCTTCAGACTGGTGGCTCCAGGTGTGCCCACTCCACACTTCGAGGATGAGTGCAAACTTTGCCCCTGGGCCTGCTCAAAGCATCTCAGACATCTGGCAGACTGTTGCATACTAGTGAATACTTCAACAAGTATGAGCAGAACCAAAGATCAACCAATATAGGATGAGCATGTATGCAGCGGAAGTCTGAGAAATGGACTGACTCACATAGACTGAACTCATACAGATATCACTCGTGAGATGGTGGGGTCTGAGCCAATCATAGATTATGCTCAGGCCCCGTACAACCATACACAGACGAAAGGTGGGAGGAGAGACGATGGAAGTGGGAGGTGTAGACAGCGCCAGGTGTCACCGAGATAGAATCCAGTAGGTCACCGATATGGTAGTCCAAGATCAGAATGTCGTGGACAATGAGTCACCAATGTCGGAGGTACAGAGTCCTAATGTAACCGGTGTCCAATCTGTGATGCTGCCGAGGACCAATCCCAACTATCTCCAAGTCTCGAATCCGGTAAGTATCACAGCCTCTTACCACCGAAGTCCAAACACTGATCTCTGTCCAACTCATATCAAAGTCTCCAATCTGAATAAGAAGAGAAGATGAAGTCTGAAGAAGAAGGAGAAGAAGAAGAAGAAGAAGAAATGGCAGAGGATGCACGGAGATGGCGAGTAGCGCCCGGCCCTACCTGCTGGGACAAGGTGGCGCCTTGGCTGCTGCAGAAGGCCGCTGAGCCGCGGGGAGCTATGGCGCTCGTAGCTGCTGTCCAGGTAAGTCCTCCTCCTCGCTCTCCCGGACTGCCGTGCGCTAAACTTAGCCCTGCAGTCCCAGCGCTGCGCTGAACTCAGAATAGCGCAGCGCGGCTCCCTACCTGCAGGAATGGCCGCTGGACCGGCCTAAGTACCGTCTGGTGGCCGGTCGGCCTCAATGCTGGCCTCCTGCGCCGTGGGCTGAACTGTCGAAATGACCGTTCAGTCCAGACCGGCAGGCGGCAGCCTCAAGAGCGCCGCCAGGCCCAAACGGTCATGTCGTTTGGGCCAACCTGGGTCTGCTGGCGCTGGGGCCCAACCGGTGGCCTAATAGGGCCTACCGGAAGGAAAAAGGCCTGCCTTTGGCGAGGCCGGCCTGGGTACCCGTGAACCGGTGTGTCGGGCCTGTGGAGGCCCGTGTGAAGTCGCAGACTGTAACACAGACTCTTCACAGCTAGAGGTTTTGGTGGTTTAACAGTTAAAAAGCACACTCAAACATTCCTAGAAGCCCTGCCATTCCCCATTTTAGCCTCTCGCTATAGCCAAACAGATCTAGTCGCATTAAAAACCCAGCAGCAGCACCACACAGAATCGCAACAGACATAATACAATACATCTTCTTTTCTGCCTCCAGGTTTTCTTTCATTGTGCTGACTACTGCGAGGATTGAGCCCTCATAGGGCCATTTACGCCTTAACGCCTGACAAGCCAAGGGGGCCCCAGCAAGCCCCGTGCCCACCCTATGTGAAGCCGGGCCTGCATTTCATTACGAGGCCTTATTTCTGTCATTTCTGCATGTGGGGGAGCCACACAATTGCCACACCAGTTCGTTACAAGGCCCACACCAAGTGGGAGCACAACATGCTGAGGCTCTGGGCTCACCCAGCTTGCGACGAGGTCAGAGTTTCCTCGGCCAATGAGAGTCCAGGCAGCGACGTGGCAAGTGGCCTATTGGCCAATGAGAAGACAGTGCGCGACAGCAGCCACGCCGCACGGTTGGGCAGCTTAACTGCAAATGCGCAGCCCAGCCGCGCCGACTACTTGAACCATCTAGTAGCTGGTTCCCTTCGAAGTTTCCCTCAGGATAGCTGGAGTGTCCGAACAACATCACTACACTGCGGTGAGATCAGCCGCTAACAGGCGCAGCACTAGCTTCGAGGGGACGAGGTAGGGGGAGAAAGAAAACGACCGGAAAGGCGGAGGCACCAAGTGCCAAGAAGAACGAAATGAACCTGGCGCGGACCCGCGCCAGATACGTTCAATGAAGGAGATGGTGGGAAACAAGTTGGGCGCAGCAGAGAAGAGGTAACTCGCTCGCTTCTAAGTCAAAATGGGCAAGCTAAAGTGCTAGGTAGGGGGTTAGAAGCAGGGCGAATCTGAGTATGTAGTTAGATTTTTAAATCAAGTTAGAGGTGATGAGAAAGAAGGAAAAACGAGTGCACGGATGGAGTCAAGGGAGGAGAAATAAGGAAGGAACGGAGCGAATGCACTCGCTCGATTCTTAACGGAATCGGGCGAAATAAAATGATAGAGAGGGGTTTTGAACTATTCTGAGTTGATTGGTCGCACCAGATTTTGAATCTGGGCGGTGGGTTTGTGGGGATGAGCGATAGGAGCTGCGCGTGGGGGACGTTCCCTTAATATGACAGTGTATCTTCCCATGTTCTAGCGGGAGATTCATCATCACGTTCTGCGTAGATATTGTGATGCCGACAAAGTGGTGCAGACAGCGGGCACAGTAGCGGAACAGGTGCGACCGGGGGCGCATGAGGGAGAGAGAGAAAGTGGTTCGTCTGGTCGTTTTCGTCGCCATGTAATCGCCATCTTCATTCCCGAAGGCCGCATTGCCCCAATCGTCATGGTAATCTTCATCCGGGCTGTTCCCGAACAGGCAGCTGTAGGCATCGGGGGGCTCGTCGTCGCTGTGATGTCTTGATGCAACCATCCCGATCTCGACTTTGCTCATAGCGGGGGTCATGGCCAACGGGCGATGCACCTTCCCATGTTCTAGCGGAAGATTCATTCTCATTTAGCACATTTCATGACAGGGGGAGCGAGGCATACAGTTGCTGTTTGGGTCGTGATTGTGATTGTACTGGTCACGCTCATCGTTCTCGTCATGATCCCAATAATGCTGGTGGTGGATGTCATCTCGAACCAGGTCTTGCTCGTCGTGCATGTTGAGGCAATTATCATCGCGGTGGTCATGGTCCACATCTCAAACCACGCACTGTTCATCCTCACGATCATCGTGGTGCGTGTTCCCCTCGTGCCGCTGATCTTAGTGGTGGCAATCTTCAACGTCACGATTGCCCTGGCCGTCTTCATCAATAGTGATCTTCTCCCCGCTCGTCGTTCCTCACTGGCTTCGCCTAGACTTGGTCACGTTAACGACCATATACATTCGCAGCTAGGGATGTTGCAGAGGAAAACGAGACTCGGCCGATCTATCTTCCCATGTTCTAGCAGAATATTCATTCACATTTTAACGTTAATGACCATATACATTCGCAGCTAGGGATGTTGCAGAGGAAAACGAGACTCGGCCGATGTATCTTCCCATGTTCTAGCAGAATATTCATTCACATTTTGCACATTTGGGTGAGTACCGGAGCCAGGTTTTTCCCATCGTCGCAGTGATTGTCTCCCTCATCATCACAATAATCTTCTCCGTTGCCATTGCGATGGTCTCCTCCTTCATTGTTGTGGCCGCCTCCTTCCTAGTAGAAGCGAATGTAGGATTTGAGTTCCTCGTCGTTATGGTAGCGGTCAACATCTATTGGTGGTCGTCGTTGTGATGGGCCTGCTACACTCCAGTCCGCAAGGGCTCGTGATCTTCACCCCGCCCGTTCTTCCCCGCTAAGCGAACCTAGCAAAGTGGACGGCCAGGTGCATTCATGTGCTAAGGGCTACGAGAGAGGGAGAGAGAGGGAGAGGGGGTAGGTGAGTGAGGAGGGGTAACTCACCTTCTTCGAATGAAGAAGTTGCAAACGGTAGGAGGGTGCAGCAGCGGATGGGCTGCGCGTATCTACCCATGTCGCAATGTTAGGTTCAGTCTCATTTTGCCATTATAACGGGCAGGCTCAGGGACGCGTATCTACCGGAGAAAGGGAAAACTTACCGTTGGGAACAGCCGGTGCGGGATGAACTGGGAGTTGGAGGTGCATGACCGCTCTTAGTTGGTGAAGTGATTTGTCTGGTTAGTGTCATTGGCAAACCAGACTTCAACTATTTGTGTAGGCGGGGCATCTGTTGTATCGTAGCGGTCACTTCCTTTGAACCATGGTCTTCAGGCACGAGGCCCGTGCATGCATGATTACTCTCATTTGCTTGGCCGA